TGGCTGCCAACATCTGGGGGCCGACCGATGGAGACAGAGCTGGTGGATCCGAAGGCGCTGATGGAGAGCTGATGGAGCTGAGCGTCGTCGCAGGGTTTCCGAAGTCCTGGGCACAGCCTAGTAGTAAGGGTAACATAAGTATGTTTTCTGTAAATACACTAAAAAGTCGCTAAAAGTGTGCTTGTGTTTAGTATATCCTTTAAAAGTGTAACTAAAAATATATTTATTAACATAGTATTTCTACTATACTTTTTAGAAATATACTAATAGTGTGCTTGTGTTTAGCATATTCCTAAAAAGTGTAACTATTTATTACCAAAGTATTTCTAGTATACGGTTTATAAATATATTAAAAGTATGCTTCTGTTTAGCATATTTCTTAGAAGTATAACTAAGCATATATTTAATACAAAAGTACTTCTAGTATACTTTTTAGAAATATATTAAAATGCAATTCAATATATTTTTATTGCACTTCAAATAAGCATGTTGGGAATACAAATGTATTATAAACATGAATTTCAATTTCAATTTGAATTTCAAGTATATTTTTAATACATTTAATACTACGTCTTTTTCACCTGGGTATATATACACAGAAAACTGTCAGGCATTATTAAAAATATCTTCATTTGTGTTTCGAAGATTAACCAAAGTCTTATGGGTTTGGAACAACATGGGTGAGTGAATGATGGCAGAATTTAAATTTTAGGTGAACTAACCTTTTAAGAATTACACGTGTGAACAACAATTATGCTTGATTTTAAGTTTTGAGGGTTTAGTCTAGTTTTTTATTGGAGTAGTAAGTATATCATGGCCCACCTTTATAAAAAAGACATCGACAGCATTTTAGAATGCCATCATGCTAGCAATGTGAATCATGTTACTGCTACCAACAGTTTAGAATGGCTAGTGTTGGAAAATATGTTGCAATGGGAGTTTTGACTTTTTTTTTATTGTGCATTGATTAATATTAAGTATTCAACCTTTAATGGGGAACATTGGCAAGCTAATGTTTGATATTGATGGTTCATTGGTTTGCCAGAAATGAATGAAAGGTACAGATGGGGGACATTTAATTATGACAATTTGAAAGGTTCACCCATATAAGTCAGGTAGTGGCAGCTCTGTTACTCCTTTGTTCTTTGGTGACATTGCTTTCTGAAGGGGGTGATCTGTTCCAGCATAAAAATCTACTTCGAATCATGACAAGCTATTTCCATTTACAGCAAGGGGTTAGACTGATACTTGTTTCATTATGGGATACTGGGATCAGGAATTTGGGTTTTGATTTTAATTTGTTACCTGTTCATAGTGCTGATTAATACAGATATCCTGCTTGTGTTCAAACAATTGGCATGACTAAGAAAACTGTATTCTAACAGCATGCTAATTTGCTTGAACTTACATAAAAATGTATTTGCTTTTTTTTTTTCTTTTCAACAGGAGGATGAACTCGAAGGCCACGCAAATGCAATAATGAAGCTGTTGGTGATTCACAATCCCACAGTTCGAGGAGGGCCCAGCAGATGTGTGTTAGAGACATAACCACAAAGTGCATATTGTTGATGGGATTGATCTATGCCCTCAACCTTGAGAATCTCAAAAACCTGGACAAGAATAAATCCCTTTGTTTTGTACTCCTGGTCTCCTCGTTCCTCGCTCCGTGTTCCCGCACCGTAGCAACCCGTGACACTATGCCCTCAACCTTGAGAATCTCAAAAACCTGGAGTACAGCTATGAAGTGTCTTTTGGAACTGGATGGAGCAAAGCTGCTAAAGAATGTCCGAGGCCTCAAGAGTAAACTAATGGAATGAGCTATCTTTACTATACGTTCATGCTCCGACTGTTTGCTTCATCCAATGAAGACATTGTTTTATTTTCACGTAGGTAAAGTTCAAGAAGTTATATAATGTGAGTTATATGTAATATGAAGTTGTATGCCACTTAGAATTGAATGTAAGAGCGTTCTTTTGCACCTAATTAGTGTTAAATGTTTAAATGTTTGTTTGTATCCATATACCAGTCTATTGATTAAGGAATTTAAGGATTTTTAAGGATTCCCTGAGTAATGTGTAATTATTCCCATTGACTAATTATTATTAATAATAATTTAAAGGGGTCATATGATGCAATTTCAAGTTTTCATTTCTCTTTGGAGTGTTACAAGCTCTTGGTGCATAAAGAAGATCTGTAAAGTTGCAAAGACTAAAGTCTCAAATCCAAAGAGATATTCTTTATAAAAGGTAAGAGTCAACCACGCCTACCTAAAACGGCTCGTTCTAACACGCCCCCACATGTCTACGTCAC